ATCCTGTGCATGCTTCCGCCATCCGTCAACCAGGAGTTCGCTAGCCCGCGGTGGCTTCGCCCGTGGGCTGCCGCAGACCGGCTGGCAGCGCCCTTTTCGCGGGCCCCTTCAAGAGGAAGAAAAGTAAGATCTGGATCAGGACATTGAAGATGGGTAAGCGTGCGCCCATCATTTTGTGCAGCGGTTTGTTTTTGCACGGAACCTGGCCTAGTGTTATTTGCTGTTTGTTGAGGCACAAAGCGAGGCGGAACCGAAATTGAGGTGAGACAAGGTGAGGAGGGAAGAGCTGACATGGAGTTACAGACAGTACATTCCACATTCCAAACGGTGTGGGGCCAGTTCGCGCTTGGCAAAAGCGCCAGGGCGCATTAAGCATTCCAACAAACCTGCTGTTCAATGGGTTCTGGTATTTGTGGCTCAATGCAGGCACAGATGATGAGTTTCAGCGGGTTGTCCCAAACAAGTGTGAAAGAGAGACTGCCGCACATTGCCCAGGGCCGAAGCTTGAACGTTGGCCGAATAACAATAGCTTGTGAACCAACCCTACGCCAAACGCAAGCCAAACTAAACTCACCACCATAAGCCAACTCTACTCATGCCGTAGGCAAGCCCCCGACCCACCCAATCAAAGCCAAACATTGACGTTGGCTACTTATAGCCTTAGAACTTTGGGGCAGTTGTGAAGCCATGGCTTGCGGCCTACCCAATGTTGTCAGCACAGGCCGTCCACCAGGCACGTTCCATGCACCAAAGGCATTTGTACTTGAAGGCCACTGTGGTGCGCCCCTGAGGCGTGGCAACGCTGCGCGGAGAGCTGGCAAAGTTCAGCGCAGGTTCCATGAGACGCGCGCTTGTCAAGGTATTGCGGCTCGTCGCACCGCATGTCAGGCATTGGCAGTTCCTGCCGCTGCCGGATCACAGGAAGAGTATGTTCAAGCGCTGTGTGCGCCATCCTCGGACGTGCTTGGAGACGAGACGCATTCTGGGTTTGAGCAGGCAACAGCGTTGAGTTGCAGTGTGAACAAATCTTACAATAACCCCGCAAGCACACATTGCTGCTTGTATTCAGGACGTGTAGAGGCAATAGCGGAGCAAAGCTGCAAGCTGCTAATTTGGGCAAGAGACTGTGAGACAGACGCGCTGACAATGAATCGCGCGTGTCGAGGCTCGAAACATTTCGTCCATAGCTCGGTCGTTTCTCAGCCGTGTTGTCCAGGCTGGTTTGGTCGCGCTGCAGCTTGCCCATCATTTCGCTCGCCGTCGCGGTGTGTAGGATGAACGTGTACTTTTTCAACAAACGACAGAGAAGTTATTGCTGCAGAATTTGCCACAAGCTCAACATTTTCTTCAGGCCATTCGTAGTGCCCGTAGCCCCTTTGCATGCTGAGGCCGCCCCGTGGTGCGTATGCAGTGTTTGGCTCCAAGTTTGAACTGATGCAGCTTTTGCGACGCAGCTCGACATGCTCTCCACTAGGTGGCGTCAGCTGAGTTCAGCGCTCGTGGCGTCGCAGCTTTGGTGCCATGCCCAGCCTGCTTTCCCCATGAGAATCCGGGTAAACTCCTGAGTACGGCCACACACAGTTTGCTACGTTGCCCGATGCCAATGTTCTAGATGATATGTCAGAAGCGTTTGACGGCACGGGCTGCACACAAGAAGCAGCAAGGATGGGGCCAAATTTCCCTTAACAAGTATCTTGCTCCCAGCAATCCACCTGTTTTGGAACGAACCTATATAGGCAAGACCTTCCAAAGACGGTGTGGTTTTGGCAAGATGCTCAGGCTTGGCCAATGGACACCGGGCGCCTTTTTATCGAAAACGCTGCCAGCCTCGGTACTGCTGGACTGAGTGTCTCGGGCTTTCTTCTCAGCGCAACTTTTTACATCCCTTTGCCCAAGTAAGAAACACGTGCCACAACATTCAATCAGCATGCAAGGAGATGCTGGCCATACCGACCGAGCTTCTTTTTTGCGACCGTGCTTCGACCTGAGGTTGGACAGAGACAAGTTGCGGGGGATACAGGGGATGTGGCAGTGTGATGGCTAGACCCACTGAAGGCCCTGTTGGACTTGCAACATGAAGTGCCGGGATGCGCAGCGGTGCAGCCATTTATCCACGCGCCATGTTTTCCAGCAAGGCCAGACATTATTCATTATGCAGCTGCAGCGTAGCAAAAAAACAGAGTGACATATTTTTGGCAGTTGCTTCCACTAGATGATTTTTGGTGCCGTTTTACTTTTGAGCCTGCTGCTCCATGCCGCCCGCCTGATGGAGCACGTGCGGGCAGCAGATTTTTCCAACAGCATCTCGCCGAACTGCCAATCTTGTTTTCCAAAGGTTGCAATGTCCATGCGACGTGTTTTCATGGCAACCCCAGCGCATGGCGGCATAGCGATGGAATGGCCCAGGCATCCCCAGCGAGTTTCCTGAAGGAAGTCAAACTGCAAGTCCACGGGCATCCGTCAAGGAGCCAGCTGAATGGATGAAGCACACGCAGTTGCAACAGTCAGTTGCCAAACTGCCCAGGATCCTTTCAGCGACTGGGTGAAGACTCACAGTGATCGATATGCAGGAAGCCTTGCCCAAAGACTGGTCAATTTGCAGCTACTGGCGTGGCTGACTTGCATGCAGGCCTGTGTTGTAATGTAGTGCAATCTAGCATGTTGTAGGAGTAGTGGCGCCGGCTTCGCCAGTTGGCGGAAGTTTCAAAAAAAGAAACTATAGTTCTGTTCTGCTTCCTTTTCTTCTTTCGTTTTGTCTTCTTTTTTACTTCCCTCTTTCCCTTCATTGTTTTTGTTCGTCGTATCTTTATGTTTGTCTGTAGTTATTTCTTTCTTTCTTTCTTTGTTTCTTTCTTTCTTTATGTCTTTCTATTTACATATCGATCTCCCCTACCTATCTATTTATTTGTCTATCTATCTATCTACCTATCTACCCACCCACCTATCTATGTACTATTTCTACCTATCTATCTATCTTCTACCTGCTGTTCACTTATGTCTGCTTATATATCTATCTAACTATCTTTCTTTCTATCCCCTTTATTTATTTATCTGTCTGATTATTTATCTATCTCCCAGTTAATCAACCCAATCTATTGATCTTACTTCGCTTTATCAACCTACCTACCTACCTACCTACCTACCTACCTACCTACCTACCTACCTACCTACCTACCTACCAATGTTTATCTATCTATCTATCTATCTATCTATCTATCTGTCTGTCTGTGAATCAAATCTCCCGCCCCGGTTCCCCGCGGTGGCTTGCCTGTCTGCTGAACTTCCTGCGCGGCGCAGCGGCACGCTTCAGCATCCCACCTCCGCCACTGGCTGCTGGACTTTTGCAGCAGGCGGCAGCCGCACCGGTTCCGGGGGCCTCGCCCCAACATCCTCGGCGCCCTTGCCCAACATCCTCGGCGCTCGAAGGGGTGGACCGCGCCCTGTCCGAACCCGGCTCCAACTCTGCCCCAGCTCCCCCTGGCCCGGCTTTGGGCTTCACGGATGGCCGCGTCCGCCGCGGACTGGCTAGCCTGGATCCGGTCGATGTTCAGACCCTCCTCCGTTTCCGGGTGCGCACTTTCCAGTGCCCCCCTGCGTTTGTTAAAGGCCAAGTCCGCCAAGCTTTCCCTCGCTTTGCAGGCAGTCCTGGAAGCGGGCGACCCCGACGCTTACCCTCTCGCAGCCTGGTTTAGGTCGCCTGGTCGCTCTGCAAAAGTCGTCTGGCCGTGTCCGGGGCATTGTCGTCAGTGACTTCTTCCGGCGGCTGGTCGCTCGGACCTTGGCTCAGCAACACGCCCGCGCTTTTCTTGAGGCGTGCCGCCCGCACCAGTTCGCCCTTTCCACCTGGGCTGGGGCGGACCCTCTCGTCCATGCCTTGGCTTCCGCCGTCAAGCTTGATCCTGAGGCTACAGTGCTTTCTGTGGATGGGGTGGGCTACAGTGCTTTCTGTGGATGGGGTGGGTGCCTTTGACACTGTGTCACGGCGGGCCATGCTGGAATCTGTCTATCTATTATTTCGTTTCTCTTCATCTATCTACCTATCAGTCTAGTATGTCGTATGTCTATCTATGTTTCTTATCTCCCTATTTTTCTTGTCTCTTTCTCTCTCTCTCTCTCTATCTCTCTCTCTCTCTCTGTAGCTACTTTCCAGATTTGTAGCTAACTATCTAATCTATTTGTCGGCTCCCGTTTACTTATCCCACTTCCTCTCTTTCTCCTCTCACTCTCTCGCTCTCTTTCCCTTCTATCTATCTATTTGTCTATCGACCTTGCGAAAGTGCTGAGCGCTGCGCCTGCCACGCAGACTGCACTTGACCAAACAAGTCCTGCTAAAAGCGCGCGTGTCCGTGCCAATGGGCCCGGCACCGAACGCGCCCCGAACACGCTCCTCGCGGTCAGGTTGACTTTGGGATGCCCAAAGCAGGTTGCGCTTTTTCCACATTTCGATTCCCCCGCCACGCACGCGCGCATATTCCCCCCGCGTGCTAATCATTTGTCTCAGAGAGCAGCTTTCCCCCAGTTGCCACACCACGGAAGTTCCTGCTATCATGTATGCATGGTATGCTGGGGTATTGTATGTCATGGTCATGTATGTAATGTGTGCATGGTGTGCGATTCTTGGGGCCGAAATGTGTAGGGAGTAGGAAGTGAAATCACTTTGGCCCCAAAAGACGCTAGCTCTTCACAGGTCACGAGATATCGACGTCAGATGGACTATCGTCGCAGCTGCGTGACAAGGCTCCCAAATGAGTGCGTTCGGAGACTGCAGGTTTCACGGCAAATTCTTTGGACCACCATGCACGTGTTCAGGGCAGGCGCAAGGAGATGCCGCTCTGGGCAAGAAGTATTTTCATTGCCTTTGCTTTGCCGTGATTTGATTCGAGCCTTGGCCAGACGCGAAAGCTTACCTGCTCTTGCCAACATGCATGCTAGTCGTTGTGAACAAGTTGTGTGTTTTTCGGTCGGTGTTGGGGGCGGGTTGGGGCGCTTATGAGGTGACTATGTTGGTGACCAAAGTGGAGTCAGCGTCACGGCGTCCAGCTTGCGTGCTCGCGTGGACCATGTTCGGTTGCAGGACTCGTCCCCTTTGCTCGGCCTTTTGATACGTCGGTCCAAAGGTCGGCATTGGGGGCATAGGCATTGGCCTTGCTTACATTTGTTTTGCATGTAATGTGGGAAGTGCTGACTGCATCCAAGCAGCCTGGACGCAGTGCAAGTTGCGCACCAGTTGGGCACAGATCAAGCACCATAAATGTGCGAAGCATCCGATTCATCCGTGAGCATGGGTTGGTTTGTTGCAGTTGTGACATGTTTCCGGATGCAACCCTGCGCAGGACGTCAGCGGTAGCCTTTTCCATGAATTTCGCAAAGCTGCTGACCAGGGCCTCACATCCTACTACCTCAACCAGAACATAAAGCTCATCCCGTTGCTTGGCAATAGTGCATCATGTCGCCAAGACGCGTCAACATGAGCGGTATTGCTAGCAGAGACCCTCGCAGGTTGTTTCTGCATTTTCTTGGGAACACATCAACTACGCCACAACACGGCTTGCAGGAAGTCAAGACAGAAGTCGAGCCAGTTGCTGTGCTAGTGGAAGCTGGCCCTTAGCCAGCCTTGAGACGATGACCGCTCCACCACCCTAACCCTACCCCAATCCTACGAACCCGAAGCTCGCCCTAAACCCACCACCCTACACCACTCTGAAATTTACCAATCCTAGAGAGGCCCTAAAGCAACGCTATCCAATTTTAATTTACCCAAATCCACACCGTCCCACTGGTAGACCAACCTTATGACGCCTACAACTCACCCAATCACCCCCGGATGGACAACCACATCCTCGGCTCTCTGTGCCAGGTTTTGGAGGCCATGGATGCTGGAACCTGATGGGCCAGCCTGGATTCGAAGTTGCCTGGACGAGCGCGGCTTCAAGCCTGAAATCTGCAAGGCAGGCAGCAAAGTGCAAATTATTGCGTGCAACACGTAAGTCACCCAGCAATGCCGCGCATGGCAAGCTGCACACCTCTTGGCATCGCAGGTCTATCACACAGCAATTCGGCTTGCAGAGCTGTTGCCGGTGAACTTGTTTCTTGATGTACCCAAAGGCCACTGCAGCATCAGCCCTGTCGCGCTTGGATGCTTGGTTTGAATGAGCTGCCGAGGCATACGCTGGTGTACAGGGCTGCAGTTTCTTTGAGCTGAAAGTTTCGTGGTGACAGCACTTGCGCCGCCGACATGCGGAGAAACAGGGCACAGAATCCATCACCAGGATGCATGATGAAAAACAGGGCGATTCTCTCCCAGCGGGTGTCCGATTCGAGATTCGAGGCTTTGCCTTTGGCGGATGTACAGCTGTGGGGACGCGCTGCCCGCACCTTGGTAGAGGCCACGCGCGATTCAGTGCTTGCAAGTTTGTTCTGCCGCCTGCACCAGGCGTCTGACCAGGTCGTGCGCCGAGATACACACACACACTCACACAGACGTATGTCACATAAGCATGTACATGGGAGGCTTGCGAGCAGTTTGCTTCTTTTACGCCGAGGTGTTTGCACTTTTGCTTGCAGATCTGGGTGGCTCAGGAGCCTTGAAGGATCGGATGAGCATCATCATGTTGAGCAAACGACCAAGCACGAAGGCAAGGGCATGCAAGAGCAATGCGCGCAGGTGTTAGCAGACTGGCTGAGGGCTACGCGGCTGTCCTTTGAATGGCTCAGTGCTTGGCCCTGCATTCCCACCTCATTGAATTTTTGTACCCGCAGCTGCAGAATCGTGCGGATCGTGCTCGAATTATCTTCGCTTGCGGCGCCCTTTGCCCAGGTTGGATACTGATGAAGCGGTGCCTTTACGGGCGCTGCGTCGACACACAGCCGGTGGCTAAGACGATTGCCACTTCCGGGAGGCGTCCGGATCTAGACCGAGGCCAGCCTTCTACGGATGACGGAGGCAGATCCTGGCGGAGGCTGCCAGGTTGCCCAGCAACTGGCAAGGCGGGCCATGTCAGAGGGGTGATGTGCGCGCAAGCCATTGCAGGAAGGCCTGTTCATGCTGCATATTACGCCTAATGAGGCTGTTCTGGGCTATCAAGTTGATAAGCTCGAAAAGCTACCCAATTGTGCTGTACCCTGAGGCGCACCAATTTGGCTAACTTGGGTCAGTATTGTAGAACAATGGGCAAAATGCCACCGGTATCAAGCTCACTTCAAGCGAGCTCGCTGGTCGAGCTTGGAGGTTGTTGCAATGGCTCAGCTGTGCAGGTGGGTTCGCTGCGATGCGGATGTGCAACCCATTCTTCAGCCTTTGCTGGACAGGCCCCTTGCACCGAGTTTTGGGGGTCTGGCAAAAGCACTTCTGAACGCAGGCTTTTGCCCCTGGCACTTATGCCGGATCCTCCTCAGCTACTGCCGTTGCTTGTGCGCCGAAGTTGTTTTTCTGCAGAGGGATTGGTTGCAAACGGTCAACAGCACCTGCCGTAGGCTGATTTGGCAGCTGATCGCTGGCCTCGTGCCTGTATCGAATCTCAGGCAAGCTGCTAAGATTTGCAACGAATTCTGCCGAATGCAGGGTGCCTTTGCACCAGGCAACAGGGCTGGACATTCTTGCCGTTGCAGATGCAACCTTGGCGCCTTTTCCTCGGACTTTTTCAGGGTTGGGCTTTTCTGTTCAAAATCAATCTGGCAGAATCCAGCCAAGCCGAGGTTTGTGCGATCGTCAGACACCATGGATGCAGAAGCTGCCAGGACCCTGTGAGATTGACTCGCACCCCTTTGCTTCAAGGGCATGCTTCCAATGGGGTCAAGCTTCGATTGGGTTCAGTGCATCACGGCTCCTTTCAAGGCCTTAGCTGTTTGGCAATCCTTCGCGGTGACCATGCTGAATGGCACTACGGACTGGGAGGACTTGCTGCAAAGTTTGCCGTTCCGCATGCTCCGCATGATTCCTCGCATTCCGCTAACCTTCACAGAGGATGAGGCCGAGCCAGGGATCGGCCGTCATGCCAACTGGTGGGCCGCTTTGGCGCAACCAGATTTTCATAGCTTGAGTGGGGAGTTCAGAGATTCGCAAGGTACCCATGGATCAAGCTGGTCTCCAAGTCTAGCTGGCACGGCTCTTTGGCATGTCACCGGTGCGGTAAGGTTCATGGGGCACCAGCGCTCCCACAACTCTTCAGCCGATTGGTGCAGGAGATCTTGAGGCCGAGCAAGCTGGAACGCCATGGATCCCACCTCGTGGCCATGTTGAATCTTCTGATCTCGGGGCACATGCGTGGTCCTCTTTGGCTGGGGATCCCTCAAACTATGCGAGGACTGAACGCCTTGGCCCGAAAGCCCGATCCCATTGATGTAGTTGGAATTGTCGCAGCGGAAACTTGGGGAGAGCCATCACCCGTTGCCGCTGAACCAGGTCTCATACCAATGAAGCACGAAACGAATAGAATCCAGTTTTCCCACGCTGGCAACTCATTGCCAAATCTGACTTCCTTTGTTCACCTGCATGTCCCGTGCACGAGTCCTTGCCGTCAGCGCAGGTTGATGAGGCTCTCAGCAGGCACTCTCACAAAAGAGTTGCAGGCAGGAGTTTCTGTGCAATTTTGAGCCACTTGAGGTGTATGATGTATGTGCTTAAGCAGTTCACTAAAATGACTGGAGACCCCACAGCTCTATGACACGCTTGCCGCGCCTCAAAATGCAGTAGGCACGTCTTGAAGCTCGCTCTGCGGCACAGAGTGCACTGGCTGCCTGGGCTGGCCTGGTAGGCAGTGGTACCAAGAACTCTTGGTGCTGCTTGTTCTGCACACTGCGGTATGAAAGTCCACCCTTGTTTCGATGCAGCTGACGCCACATCTCCAGGTGATTCTTCGGCCTGGTCTGCTGCTACGTGGGCTCCGCGATGACCTCGGATTCACGCAGGGGGAGTTGGTCGTGGCAACCGGCCTAACTCCATGTGGTCCAGTGGCGGCAGGCATCAGAAGGATGCTCATGACCCGGTCACAGAATTCTTCGTCAGTGCAGTCTTGCGCGCCGCGTTGAGGGGCGGCAAGGCAGGCTCTGTAGGGTAAGAGCCTCATAGAGGGTTCAGTTGCCTGTGCGAGGGAGGAGTCAGTCAGGCGCGCATCAGGTGTTGCCAAATGAAAGGGGAAGCAGTGACATCCTGTAGCAACATAGGTTGCAAGCCATTAGAAACATATATTGTAGGCATACGCACGTGTATACCCACATATGCGTGTCACAGTGTATGCATATATATATATATAGGTATAAATCCATGTATAGACATATATGTATACAACTATGGCAGTTGGAGATTGAAGTAAGTGCATGCTGTCAAATATAGCAAGACTGTTGGGTAACGTGCAGTGATGCCAGGAAGCTGCTCATAGCTGCTCAATTGGAAGATCTGATGTGCGTAGCTGGCAATCCTCTATCTACAATGTTGTTTTTCTCTGTGGCTGTCATGTGAGCACTTTCTTAAGCGCACGGCGCTTGGTGAGGCTGCATCTTGTGGCGCGGCAGTTGGCAGTGAACAGTGTTCGCCTCAGATCATCAGGGGTTGTGCTTTCCCACTGTTATGTGCTTTGCCGTGCGATGTTGCAGGTCCGCAGGAAAGTCTGGCCCAAGAGGTAGAGGTCGTGTGGCCCCTGCGAGTAGTTATATGGATGCATTGACGTGTTTGTTTCTTCTCAACTGCTGCAACTTGCACATCGCTTTGGAGTGGCCAGGCTTTGGTTTTCTTTTACACTGGCAGCAAGCTGGCCTGAGCAAAATGCCCCGGCAGCAGCAGTAGCGGGGCACCTGGCGGTCTTCGCAACTGCTTGCTTGCCCACATGTGCCATCATGTGCCCAATCAAAACGACTTGCTCCCTCAATCCTCAATGTACCCAACATTGATCAGATGATCCGATGCCTTTGAGTCATTAGCTTGGTGTTGCAAGGTCCTTGAAATCAATGACCAGCTCGACTCCTTCCCGCCGACGTGGAGAGCTTTGCTGTGGATGCAGGCCAGAAAGCTGCTCATGATAAGCAGTCTTCTTGATTCCTTTCACAGCCAAATCCTTCTGCTGCATAGCCGTTTTCATGTCCCGTCATTTTCCACAACCTTTTGCCCTCAAGGATAGCAGGTAGTGACAACTATTAGAAGCAACCTGTCCCAAGCAAGCAAACCTAATCGTGTACAGTGACGTCACCATCGCCGTTCTCACAAGCCACTCGGGTGTACAAACTTGCAGACAGTGTGTTGCACACACACACACACGCAAACCCACACACACACATATTTATATATATGTATATGTATAGGTATGTAAGACTTTGAAGGCACAGTGCGCATACTGCCAACTGCAGATAAAATTGCTCAGGATAAAGCTGTGCCGTCGCCATGGCAACTGAGGGCGACTTTCGCAATTTCGAGGCTGTCTTCAGAATCAGGGGACTGTTGCCGCACTCAGCTGAGCTGGCACTTGCGCCAGCTACAGGTCCTGCAGCAGAACAAGGAAAAGCCAGCAGTCCTCGTGCTTGGCGGGACCAAGTTCATGGGCAAGGCTCTACTTTTTTGGAAGTAATGCTTGCAAGGGTGGTGGCCAAAGGCACTCGACTATTCACAAATGAAACGTTGTCTATTGGATCCGGAGCAAAGCAGCACACATTGCTAGGAGGGACATGGGTCGATGCCCGCAGTTGCCAACTCGAGCACGGAATGTCATTTGAGGGAGCCGCAATGAAGCACTCGGTGTTTGTCGTCTCAGTTTTGGGAGGCCTTCGTCCAGGAAATCCTGGAGCACGCTCGCAGCCAGTCTGCAGGGAAGGGAAGGCTGTGAGCATGGCCATGGGCCGTAAGCAACGGCCTAGCCTTCCACCGAACGGTGCTCTCACATCCCCTGACCAAAAGCTCAGGCGTTTGCGTGGTCAATCGTGGGAAGACTTATTGGGCAGCTTCTGATTTGTTTGTGCCTTGGCGCAGTCCATTTGCTCCGTTGGTGATAGCCTGGATTATTTGTGGTGCGGCGGATTGAAATGGTGTGACTGTAGGCAGCGCGTGCGGCCCGAGTTCGAGCGGATCGCGATGATGCTGAAGTCTTTGCCAAGTGCCTGAAAGAAGCAACGCAGCGCCTAGGCGGGAAACTCGATGTAAGCAAAGTTTGGTAATGCGAGGCGTTCGTGTTTCTGCCAGCTTGCTGCGTTGGAGCACGCCCGGTTCAGCCTTGTGCGGCCTGCAGGTGATGAGTGGGATTGCGTCGTGGATTTCTCTGGCTTTGCTGGTTGCCCGGCTTGCTTGATAGATTCTCAATGTGCGGGTTGAGTGACAAGCAAGTCATCAATCTTGTCAAATAGATGCCACACAGGCTCTACCTTGAATTTACCTTCACGATTAGTTCCAACATATTTCTGGACTTCTGAGGCAATGACGTGCGGGCTTCCCTGTCAGGCTTGGCTGGCGTGCCTCAGCTGCAATGTGCGAGCATACAGACGGGAAGCCACGCAAAAGAGGCCAAGTGGTTCTCGTGGCTTCTGTTCAGCAGGTTGAACCCTTGCAAATCGAGGCCTTCAAGATGTACATCTACATTTCCTCAGACTCCGTTTACGAGGCTTTCGCAGAAGCTCTGCGCTGACGTTGCACCCTTTTTGAGCTCAGGTGAGCTCGTGGGCTTTCGACAAATGGTCGCCGAGGCAGGGTGAAGCCAGAGACATGTCTTGGCCCCATGTCACATCATGTGGCCCTGTGGTCCCATGGTTGGGATCGGCCATTCAAGCTTACAATGGGCGAGCGTACATGCTCCTCCGCCGTGTTTACTTAGTTGGCGTCGGCCAAGTGGCGAATTGCAGGAGAAGGCGCGACGGTGGAGGATACCTGACTTCCGTTGCCGAAGATGCAGCGGTTCGACCTTGCGGAAAGGACAGGATATTCTTCTACGACCGCGGAGGGACCAGCTTCACTTGTTCTTAGATATGTTCATCTCTGTTCCTTCAGCATTATGTGGGTGGGGAAGCTGGTCTGGCCGCGGCACCTCCAAAGTGACTTTTTCAGGAGCAGCAAGACATTGTGAATAACAGCGACAACTATGGGCATGAAAAACTCGAGGGCGAGGAAGTTTTGCTGCAGGACTACCTTGACAAACCCTTGTTGCTTTGATTGACATGTCAGATGCTGCATCATATCTGAGGCTATTGACAGTGAAATCAGATGCATTGACCTGCTAGGAACGACCTGCTGGGCGAAGGTGTGTGATTCTACGCCTTCCTGATGTAATTGGCCCCTTTGATTCAACGTGCGCTGGAAGCATTATTGGTATTGGTTGTCGGCATTCAGGTGTGCTGGCTGCCACATCACCTCATGCCTGCTGCAATGCCTACACCCTTCATGCTGCATCAAACCAGCTCTGCCGCTTCCAAACCAGCCGGCAGAGAACAAAATCGGAATTCACCAAGATCCTGAAGTGCGACGTTGGCAAAACTTTTGGGCTTGCCTTTGAAATATTTTGAAATGCACTGCTTAACTCAACGCAAGGCATCGTCTTTGGGCATACTGGCACTGGCTGCGCGCGGGTGAGCTGGGAGCTCCAGCGCCGCAAGTCCAGAGCTACAAGCGCAAGAGGAGTGCCAAGCAGCTGGCTGTTGTTCCAGTGCTTCAAATTGTGTGGCCCATCTTTAGGGATTTTCCGCATGTAGCAGCAAGCCCTTATGAATGTCAGGAAACAAATTGACGCCACAGGTGAAGAAGTTGCGCAGGCACGGCAAACTGATGCAGTTGCACCACTCTGCATGGAGGGCTGAGTGTGATACCCCTTGCGATCATTCAAGTTTGGTTGATGTCTGGCTGGTGGGAGGCACCTGGCGATTGTCACCTGGCGGTTGTGTACAGCCTGGACGTGGCTAAGTCTGGTGGCTGCATCGCTTTTGAGCCCTACTTCCTCACTGCCCGGGCCAATTCCCGTCACTCCAAGGTTTTTGGCACGCTTGGTGAAGCAGCCCCCTCCTGCGGAAGTTGATGTCCTCAATCTTTCTTGCACCGACCTTTGCTGTAAGTCTGCACCATATGCTGTCTGTCCCTCAGCAAGCTGTCCAAAGCACCTGCCAATCAAGGTGATGAGCATCTTTTGCTAAGCGACTTTCTGGAGCGCCTTTTCAAGGTATCAGGCGGCAATCGCAAACGGCCCCGATTAGCTCCAGACAAAGATCCGCCCCTTGGTGTGCATCAGCGCCGATTGAGAGGCACCCTGGCGCTTTTGAACGAAGCAGTGCATGCGTGTCCTGCATCAACTTCAACTTTGTATCCCCGGGATCCCCCGGGCTGCCTGAAGTTGGAGGAGAGTGCCGGGGTCATACTAAACGGCCGGCCACAAAGGTTCAAAACCTTGGCTGCTACTTGGTATTCCTCTCTCCTGCCAGCAGCATATGGTGTAACTGGATTCCCTGGTCCCACACAAAACAATCTCAATCAACAGCGAAGTTCCAGAATGGCAGGAGCCAGATGATGAACATACATTGAGGCCCTTCCACAGAAAGCCTGCAGGAACCGGCATTGTGCCATCTGAGGAAATTGTTCCTTCCCAGCGTGAACAGGCCTTGGCCACTTAGCTGCGAGCGAGCCAAGGAGGCGCATTGCAAAGCGAACGTATGTGCTGCAACAGCCAGGGCTTGGGGTTATGGCTGTTTACTGCTTTTCTAAGCTGGCGCGTGCTAAGCTAAGCCGCTATGGCAGGCATACGGTTTTGTGGCGACCTCCTTGGACGAAGTGTTGCGGGTCTGCGTAGACTTCTTTGAGTCCAACTGCGCGGCTGGGATCGGATCAGTCTCGGCCCCATGTGCAACATGCTTGGCGCGTCACGAGGCTCGCTTCCCAGAAGAGGCGAAAAAGGCAGCGATGAAACTGCCGTCAGAGCCGGCGGCATATGCCTTGAAGCTTTTAGAGCCGACTTGCGAACCAAAGTGAGAAGCCAGCAGGATGCTTAGACAAGTTTAGATGCCAAAGGTGCTTCGCGCTTGAAAAAATGCCGCCGC